TGAACAGATAGTCTGGGGTGCATCTCAGTTGGATGGGTATCAACATACTCTGGATGGTGCTCTGTCCAGCTGACATCTGGGAACATACAAAAAGCTGATTCATCAACAGGGCAGCCTGTTTACCCAATCGTACCTACTGTGCCACCCCGATGATTCTCCAGCTGCCATCTCTCCTCAGCTTCCTCTCTTCACCTCCCAGCTCATGTTCCTGGTAGTACCACCAGGCTCAGTCTATCCCAACTCAAACACCAGGTGTGACCATCTCCTACCCTTCCTCCCTTTATCTCCCAGGTCACTAAGTGAGCCATCACAACCTCCACCTGGTGCCATCCTCCAGCAGCACTAGACTATTTTTTTTAAATAAAACCTTTCACGTTCCAAGCCAAATCAACCAAATCAATTCCAAATCCGAGTCATTCAAGAGTCATTCCATATGTGGCCCTACTACCGGCAAACATCCGCCACCCCTACCAGGGGCTTCAGATGTTTCCAAATCATTTCGCAAGCATCCTATGTGCAGGCCCAAGCCTGGAGACTTGGGGTTCGAATATCCCTGGGTTTCACTTGCCCTCAGCTGTACGGCTGCAGGAGCAAGCTAGGGAGGAGTCTCCCATTTCCATAAAGTGGGCGTAACACCGAGATCTTCCCAAGGGTAATGAACGTGGGAGGGTAACATTACCTCCGCAGGTACTACCCCATGCCAGAAAGGTGGTTATCCCCTGTCCCTGGGAAAACCATGGTGATCATGGTATTTCCCCTGTGACCATCTGGTCCAGCTCCATTTAAATAGCTCTTGCCAGTTTTCCAACAGCCTCTACCAAGCTAGACCTTTGTGCTCCACCTTTTCTTCACCTGTGAGCTGCCTTAGGATCTAGGTCTTATGACTGCCTTTCCTCTCCCATTGCTTGTACAGAGATTCCTCTTCATCCTCTCTCCAGCTTTTGGGGGAAATTAGGGGCAGCTCAGGACTCCTCATCCCCACCCCTGTTCCCCATTTCAAATGATCTCAGCCCAAGCCCTAGTTGGACTGGAAAACAGTAAATAACAGCTCCCCATTCACTTGTTTCATGCCATTCATAATTTCATAGGCCCCCATCTTACCCCAACCCTCAGTTATCCCTTTGCCAAGATGAAGAGATGGGGACTTCTTGTTGTCTCATCTAGAAGCTGCTCTGTACTAAATCACCCCCTTGCCTTTCTGTACCTTTTTGCACTGTACTCTCTGTTCTGTGAGATGGGGTGACCAGAGCTTTCCCCGCAGCTCAGCTCCCTGCCAGGCCCTTGCATCTTTAAAACCACAGTCTCCCTTTCCTCCAGCCTTGAAGATCCCTCTGGATAACTTCAAGACCTGCTGCCTCTCCTCTGTCACTGTCTCCCCCTCAGCAATAGCTGGGCATGTGGGATGGTGAGACTGTGCCCGTCTGCCTTGGCACCCAGGACTGTCTCTGTTTCCCTATTTGCATTCTGCTGTTGTTATCTTTGTCAGATACCGAGTCTGTAAGCATTTAGGGGCAGGGAGTGCTCTGTTCAGTGCCCGCTGCAATGGGGCCTCTGAGTGCTACACCAATACAAGTAATGATCCTAATGCACCACCTCAACAAGTCTAGACTGTTGGTACTTTATCTTTGACACCATGTTCAAACTGGCCTGGGAAAGGGGTAGTAGCAATGAGTAACAGGTGGCTGGATCAGTCACTAGTCCACTTAGACAGTCACACTTTAAAGCCTCTCTACTTTGCCTATCCTTGGTCCTCTTGTCCCCCAAAGTTACTGTCCCCTGCCAAAGCAGTTCCTCTCTAACAGAAAGACAAAACAACAGCAGCAGCTTCCCTCAGCTGAGCTCAGGGTTATCCCACTGGGCAACATGTCACCAAGGATCATGGTTCTCTCTGTTTAAAAATTGCAAATTCTCTGATAACCCCCAAATTCTCTGATTTAAGAAACCCTAAATCCACATTTTTCCACAGTTAAAATGAAATGACATTGTCTCTCAATTTAACACAATGTTTTATTCAAATATCAAAAATTTTAAAGCAATTTGGAAGCCTACCAGTGCCTCAATCATTATAATAAAATACATTCTAAATACCTATACATTTTGGCATTTGATTTTGTTTCTTTTTATCATGGAAAATCAGAGCTCCCCCTGCCCTCTTCGCTCACCAGGATACGGGTCCAGGTTTGGCTGTCCCCTCCCCCCACCCCTGGTGCTTTGTGTCACTGAGCAACTGTGATAGGCTGTGCCCTGCCATTGCCCCCCCTCCACTCCTCCTGGTACCCTTCACTCCCAACCCACAATCCCCTGCCACTCCAAGCCATGCCAGCGCCCCTCCTAACCTGCAGTCCCCTGTCCTTGCCAGTGCCCCTCACTCCTGACCTGCAGACCCCTATCCCTGCTGACCTGCAGCCTCCCCACCCCCCCAGCTCTGCTAGTGCCCCTCACTCAACCCACAGTCCCCTGCATCCCCCCAAGCCATGGCAGTGCCTCTCACTCCTGACCCACAGCCCCCCTGACCCTGCACTCACAACCCCCTGCTCCACCCAGCCCTGTTGGAGGGGCCCCCCAGCTGCCTTCATCCCACCCAAGCAAGAGCATAGCAGGGGTATCCAGATCCCTGGTCATCACTCACTCCTGGGCAAAGTGGATATCGTCTGTCTCTAGCCTCAAGCTAGGGGTTTAGAGGTAGCACAGCACTTTGCACACTCACCACATAGGTGTCTGCTGACAAGGGCAAAGGCAGGATAGATTGCCCCAGCGTTGCTGAGGCACCCCTTGCGTGGGCCTCGTCCTGCCAGCACCAGTCCCTGTGAGTGATCAGCCGTCACCCCTGTAGTGCATGGCTCAGGGGGGTCAAGCAGGGCCCAAGCACTGATGCCAGCACAAGGTGTTTCCTGTAAGTTTAAAGCTGACTGGCAACACCTACAAATGGGACAGATCATGGAGCAGCATCATTGCTATCATCCCCTAGCTTTCCAGCTGTGTTTATTTCCCAGCCTCAGGCCCAGGGGACCTCCTCACCCACCAGCTAGGCCAATAGCTGACCCACATTCTACTGATGCAAGCTGGGCTAGGAGCGTGCCAGCTGGAATGATCACCAATGATTCCTGGCTGGCCACATATGCAGTGTAATTCTGTGGTATTGGCTGGCCCAGAGCCAGCACTGGCAAGTAAGAAGTGCTGCGTGGCAGGAGCTAGGGCCAGATAGGGTGCCACACATCTCCAACCCCAGCTGGGAGTGCAGGGAATCCAGGCATTAGCCTGATGCACTAGCCAGACAGACTGCACCTCACCTGCATTTACGGGATGTGGCCTGCTCCCCAGTCCCCCTGCTGGAGCAGCAGATCCACTCTTGGGTGGTTTCCAGTGCTTCTTAACTGCAGCTCAAATGGAGCCTCTGTGGTACCAAAATGTGTATTACAAACCAGAAGAGATCAGCTAGGACAGAATGGAACAGGATCACAAAGAGCATGTCCCCATGAAGCCCCTACAGCCACCCAGACCTCACGCTGCAAGGCCCAGACTCCAAGATGTGATCCCATATTCAGAGATGCCCCTATGGACCGCTGTCACTCCAAGCTGGAAGGAAAGAGGTGCCTGTTTGCTGCCTCTGCCTCTGGCAGGGTGCCTTTTGCCAGGAGGACTCTGATTACCAGGTGGTGCTGGTGCCTGCAGCATTGTACAGCAATGATCCAATTAGGGGAGCCCAGCTGTGCCCCCCTGTCCTAGAGTGCCGCCCAAGCAGGTGCTCAGCATTTGTGTAAGGGGCCTCAGGACCCCTTGTGTGGTACCCAAGATTAGTAATCATTTCTGCAGCATTTGTCTGTTTAAATTACAGTCAGTGTGCCACACCTGCATAAGCACAGGTGATTCCATGCTGAGCCCTTGCGGGGAGGGATGGGGATAGTTTGTGGAAATGGTAATTAAACTAAGCTTCCCCCTCATCCTTCCTGGTCCTGGATCCCCTCCATGTGCTGTGATAGGAGAAAGAACATGCAGAATTCAGGGTAGATTTGCATCTTATAGACTAAAACAGAGATGTATATCTTAAGTTTTTATGAGCCTGAGCTCACTTCATCTGAGGTTGTGAAAGGACAAGCACAGAGCAGTGTATAAAATGGAGTGATTTGGGGCAGGGCTGGGAAAGGCAAACAAGTAATAAGAACATAGGGAGAAAAGGGTTGCAAAAGCTAGTCCAGCAAATGGGATAACCTATAGTCCCTGTTTAAACCATATTTAACAGTCTAGTCTGGATGATTTCTTGTTCTGCAACTTCTTGTTCAAGTTGTTTATTTAAAAAGTTTTGCTGTCTAAGAACAGCTACCCTGAGATCAGCAACACGTCCAGAGAAGTTGAAGTGTTCTCCCACAGACTTGTGTATCTTTCTAGAACTACTGTCAGATTGGTGTCCACTTATTCTTGCATGTAGGGATTGTCCAGTCTGTCTGATGTAGATAGAAAAGGGCACTGTAAGTAGATGATGGTGTATATGATATTGGTAGAGTTGCAAGTGAATGAACCTTGGATATTATAATCTGTATTACTAGGTCCAGTGATGCTGTGCTCCATGTTGATGAGGGGGCACAGCTAGCATCTGGGTCCATTGCAAGTCCTAGTGGCATGGTGAGAATCAGAGTTAGGTAATGGAGCTTGGCTGTAGAGGATGGATCTAGTGCTGTGCTTAGGATGAAAGCTGGTGGTGTGAAGGAAGCTGTGACAGTTGGTTGGTTTCCAATACAATGTGGTGATGTAGCCATTGCAAACCTTCACCATGGTGTCTAGGAAATGAATTTGCTGGGTGGAGTGTTCCTGACTTAGGTTGATGGAGGTGTGGAAATTGTCCCAATGCTCAAAGAAAGAACATGGTCACCAGACACCCAGGAGGACAGAGAGGCTGGGCAGAGACAGGCCCATTGTAAGGCATCTATGGAATTTGTGTGTGTGGAGCAAGGTGCAGTTGACAGGCATGTGGCATGGGGTAATATGGGGAGGAAACCTGTGGGGGAAAGGCGTGGACAGTTTTTACATCCTCACTTTTTAGCATCTTCACTTGACCAAGAGGCCTAGCCCATCCTAGCAAATAGAGGCCTGGCTTCAACTAGTAATTTCTTCATCACCTTGCAGCTGAACAACAGCAAAAAACACCTGAGCGAA